AGGATTTCTAGGGAGAGAACGATATGTGTCTGTATCCTTCAAGATATTATATACTTCTTGAGTGTATTTATCCTTACTCATTAATACCACCCCACCTCCCTTATCAGCTGGTCTTATGACCAGATCCTTATGGTCCAGGAGATAATTAATCGCTTTAGAAGTACCTTGATAGAGGCTGTTAAAGTTAAAAGCTTTAGAGACTAAGTACTTAAGCACTGTTTCTTTAAACACATTAATATAGCTATGCGCTTGTGGAGGAGGGTTGAATAAAGATGCATTCCGTAAATTCGAGTGAATGGTTACATTCAACGTATTTCTAGTAATGAGGTTTTGAAAAAACTATTTTTTTATAGATACTGATCTGACAAATTTGTGTATGTCAACATAGGTACGGAATTTATCCAATTTGTTACTGGGTGCATATTTTAACCCTTTGTCTAACAGATCTAGTTCTTGAGGAGTCAATTCCTTGCCACTGAGGTTAAATATGCCCTTACCTTTTAAAGTTTCCTCTTTTTCGGGTTTTTTGACCCTTTTCCCTCCCCTTTTTCCTCTGCTTGAAAGCTTCTTTTGCGCGAGCTCCCCTCCCCTAAAAAAATGAAGTTGTCTCTCTGATTTGAAAAATTATTGCCCGATGAAGGAAAATGTGTATTATTTCTATGCGGTGAGGCATATTGATGGTGCCCATATGATTCATGTGGTGTTCTCAGTTCTGGTGTTCTCCAATTATCACGTCTAAATGGGGCCCCATGATTTCTCCTAGGTGCATCATAATAACTGTTATTAGGGGGTCTATTGGCATGTGGTTGAGAAGTTTTTTTGAATTGATTGCTACTATAGCCTTGGTTGGGATATCATTCATAATTTCTGGATCCAATATTATTATCAGGCATAGAACGTAAAGGTTCAAATCGATTGAAGGTTGGTACACTAACATTGTGGTTCGGTCTGGTTCTTGATGGTGACTGGTATTGATTATGGTTTTTGGAACGGCCTGAATTAGGGCCTTTCCAACCGTTAAACGTATTCTGGGCTTTGGGTGTGTGTGAAGTGACTTCCATAGATGTAGGAAGAACATTATCAGCTCTTTCTATTTTAGTCTGCCACCTAAAAACTCTATTTTCTGCATAATCTTTACGATCACGCGTATATTTTTTACGTTTTTTTTTTTCACCTTTTGTTCTTTTTCTATGTGTTCCAAAAAGGCTTTGAGCTTATCCGATTCTAATTTGTATTAATTTTTTTCTTTGAATGGGACCAATTTTTCTCGTACCTTATTTGATTTCCATATCCAAGTACGTAAGTTTCTCCTTTTTATGCGTGATCAAAAATTTAAGTAGATCAACCCCAGCTATATTAAAGTACTGAAACCATTCGAATGTACCATTAATATCCCCTGTTTCTGGGGGAATATCCCATCTTAAAGAGCGAGGGACCATCTGTTCTTTGATATATCTATCTAGGAAAGAGATATCCCAAAGTGTTCTAACCTCAGATGAGGTCAGGTTATGAAGCTGTATAAATAGTCCTTTAATGTCATCAACTTCTTGTTCTATAGTAAATATATCATCAGATATTTTTGGTCTCAAGGTTTTTGTTGCTGTCTGTGTCCCAGTTAAGGAGATTCAGTCTTCCTAAAATGTCATGATTACCAATGCCAATTAGAATGAAAGTAAAAAAATTCCCAAATTTTAGTTGCCAGAACAAATTTTAGTTTAGTCAGAACGGAATTATAGGGGAAATCTTCCAATGGGAACACTTGTTCCCATGAAAATGAATAACAGAACTAGAACTAGAAGAGAGGGAACATCTAGCAAATGAATCACAATGACTAATAACAATGAGAGCGGTTTGCTACTTCACCACTCTAAAATTTAAAAAAATGGCTTTAGTTATATGTTGATGTCACACTTTTTAATACACTTTTTCCCAAAAAAAGATTATTTTCTCTAAAACCAATGATAAAGTTTAGAAAAGCTTGTTAATCAATTCCCTAATATGCACAAAATATGCCGCAAGGACACATAGGACTTTGGGGACTTTGGGGAACTAAGCAACACACACTCATGAGACGCTGAATACTAACATAAAAACCGCTTTAATCCTTGTATTGCTGCACTACAGTGCAATCTGCAGAAAGACACGGATCTAATGACATCTTTTACTGAAATATCAAGACAAGTGGAACAATTATGAGCAGCATTATTATTGTTATCATTCTCATTATCCTAATTTTTATTACTATTTCCTATTAAAAGTAAAGTAAGCTTAAAAACATTTTTTTTCATATTTTTCTATCTATTTCTAAAATAAGTCTGTCATTAAAATGTATTATTCACATGAAAAATGTATTCAGATAATTTTAAATATTCATTGTTCAATAAACTAATTTACATTATATATCATTCAGAATAAAATGGTTGAGAGTAAGGTAGCCTATATGTGCCCCAATGGTTGCAAGCAAACTTGTGGACTTGAGCTTTTCCTATTGGTCAATTAGGTTAAATGGAGGCTAAGAATTATAACTTCTGAGTGTCGTTATCACACAAAGATTTTTTTAAAGTTCTAAAATTTAAAACAGTTCAATTTTTTTTGTAAGAAAAGTTGAAATTGAAATGCGACACCGTTGTTAAGTGGTCCAGTTACAGCTTTATTCCATTAAAGTTCAAGGGTATAATATGAGAAGCAGCCAACGTGTTTTGGGGGTCCAAGTGCCACTTTGATCAGGGTTTGACTGGCAATAAAGTGAACAGAAAAGGAGTGAACTGGACCTGCAACAGTATTTATTCCATTGTGAAGTAAAAGCAAGGCCTAATCAGCAGCTTGTTTGGCAGCCAGTGGCGTGGCGCTTCAATTTCAACTTTTCTTACAATACACTACAAGCCAGGGAGACTGCGGAGATCTTCTGGGGTGCAGAAGCCACCTGCCCGGGAACCAGATCATTTACACCAACATAATATCTTAAGATAACAATACCAGTGGAGTGTACCTGCGGGTCCAGCACTGTCCTTCCACTTTCCTCAGCTATTTTTTTTTTACAAAGGTCAAGATAGATGTCGGAGTAAATGCGATGCAGGAAAAGGACAAGAAGATCCTCTTACCACAAGCTGTACTACCTGTCTATGGCACAGGGAATAATTTAAAACTAAACTCTAGGCAGATAAAAAACACAGAAATTAAAGGCAGCTCCTTAAGCAATAATAAATAATTACATGTATTTTTTAAATGCAAGTGGTTAAAGCAGATATGACCAAGAATTAACCTATTGCTGGACTGGATTGTGAGAAGAAGCAGCCAATCAGTGCATGTACTGACAAGAAGCATGCAGGTGGGAGGAAGGATATGAAATTGGAAGGGATTTAGTGAGAGATAGTTATGAGATTGGTAGGGATCTTGTACTTAGCCTTACACGATATCCATCAGGATTTGGTTATTTGTTCCATAGGTTAGAGATTTTGGTCAGTGTCAAATAGTGAATTTTTAGTGGTGGTGGGTTGGCTGGCTGCAGTCTCCATCTCCTCCCTATGTGGTCCAGTGCCTCCAATGCTGTCCCCTGCATTTTTGTGGGGGTTCTGGTCTGTGTATCACTTCGGGTGGTGGTGGTCTTGGGGGGTTGTGGTGTTCATGAATGCCCAGCACATCAAAACTGTGTAGTAAGCTGTATATATTGTGTAATGTATTCTATGTCATGCAACATTTCTATGTTTATGTATTCTGTGAGACTACCATGTATTATGGTGATTTTTGTTTAATTTTGTAGATGCTCCAGTGAGGTCCCTGAGGAAGCAGTTTTTATGCTGCAAAACCCGTTGGCCTAAACCATCAGGAATGCACAAGCGTCCATGTAAGGGTTGCAGAATCCTTCTATGTTATTAATGGTATTTTGTTCAATCTGTGGAAGCATCTATGATCATTTAGACTAGAACTTTTTATATTTATGTTTGTTGTAATAAATGTATATATATTATGGACATTGATTGTGTTACTGCCTGCAGTATAAAGCCTTAAAAGTCCCTGTGGTTTTACTAGGAGTGTTTCATTCCAATTGTGGTTTGACATTCATACATAATTATTTTATGTAAAATAGAGGTAACAAGTTTCTTGAATAATCTATGTACCAGACAATGAAAAATACAAAACAAATGATAACATTATAAGAACCAAAATTATTTCTTCATCTCAGTTTGGAGTGATTGATATGTACACCCAAAACCAAAGCACTGTGACGGAGTTCATTCTTCTTGGCCTCTCATCGGATCCTTTCATACAAGTCCTGCTGTTCCATATTTTCCTGGTAGCTTACATGATCACACTGACTGGGAATTTCCTTCTCATTCTGGCTGTGAAGACTGACAAACGTTTGCACACCTCCATGTACATCTTCCTGTCTAGTCTCTCTTTATTGGACATTTGGTACACTTCCGCCATTGTACCCAAAATGTTAGTAAATTTTCTTTCATCTAAAAAGAGTATTTCATTCACTGGCTGTGCTGTCCAGTTCTGTGCTTTCCTGACCTTGGGAGAAGCTGAGTGTCTGCTTCTGGCATTCATGGCCTATGACCGATATGTGGCTATCTGCATCCCTCTGCATTACAATATGATCATGAACACAACGGTCTCTTTTCGTATTGTCAGCATATCATGGTTGACTGGTTGTGTCCTTTCATCTATTTGCACATATTTAACATTCAGCTTAACCTTCTGTGGCCCTTTAACACCATCAACCACTTTTTCTGTGAGCTCCCTCTGTTGCTTCAGCTCTCTTGCAGTGACATCTCAGGATTGAACATCATAAAACTGGTTAGCTTGCCCATAATACTTTTCATCCCACTTTCACTAATCTTCTTTTCATATATCCGAATCATAATTGCTGTCATGACAATTCGTTTGGGAAAAAGGAAAGCATTTTTCCACATGCATTCCCCACCTTGTGGTGGTGGTCATGTTCTATGGATCGGGCATTTTTATGTATGTTAGACCGGAACATTTGGTTACAGGAGACACAGACACAGACAAAAGGGTTGCAGTGTTTTACACAGTGATCACCCCGATGCTGAACCCCTTGATCTATAGCCTGAGGAACAAAGATGTTCAGAAAGCCATAAGGCAGCTGATAAGAGCTAAGAAGGATTGCAGTTGATTAGGTAAAATTGGTGCAATGTTCCTAGCTCAAGTTCTCCCATGTTTTTGTTCTTGATCAATCATTTTTATTAAATTTCCATTTTTCAGAGGTAACATAGTTAGATGTAACCATGGCTTTTTTTTGAGGGAATGTGGGGAACGCAGTTCTGCAACTTCCAGGAATGAATGTATGTAAAGTTCTATTGTTACTGTTTGCATGGGATCTACTTTACTGCTTTTATTGTTATTATTAACACATTTTATACAAATTACTTAGCACAAAAAATGATACTTTGTTCTGTATTCTCTAAAAGGGCATTACTGGGAGGTGGGTAGAGAGTGAAACCAAGGGCCAGGGTTCAGAGGTGGGTATGGGTGGAGTTGGGGGGGGGGGAGTACCTGCACCTATTCTCTGAGAAAATAAGCCCTGGATGTAACATTATAAAAAGTACAAAGAGGTGTCATGACCATAGCTAACAATAAAAATTTGAAGAAAGACACATAATAAGTGCAGGATTTACTATTAGTGTTGGGTATACACGTATATGTGTGTGTACAAGCCCTCAGATTTGGCTGTGGAATCAGACATACAAATGGTACAATTTAGGAAGGGTTCCATCCAATTACATAAGTTGTTTGTGAATTGGGGGGTACCTGGGTATTGGTGGTAATTTGTCATGGGTTATAGCATCCTATTTGGTAATGTGGTTTTCCATACCCCAAAGAAAAGAATAAGCTCCGGTTCCAATTGCCAAATGTGATGCAGTAAAAGGAATCTGTAATACACAAAGCAGAAAGATGACCAGCAACCTAACAAAGCTGTACAAAGGTTTGTGGGTCCATTGTTCACTATTACACGGGGTCTTTAAATAGTTTCCGCACTTTTTTTTACTCTGTTTATTAAGAATTTCATAAACAAGTTACATGACTTTTCTGCATACTTACCTTGCTTTGTGAGGCAGACAGACGAATCACATGATAATCCCAGACATGACCAATTACCATTCTGCCCGCCCCCACCGTTTCCAACAAAAATATAAAAGTGCAGAAACTTTTGAAGAAACCTCATATATTGATACCACCTAATATTTTTCTTGCAAATTTATTTTTAGTGTATTTTTACTCTTTCTGATTTACCGGACAACCTAGTGAACATCCAGTAGTTAGGCAGGGTTATTATTAGATCATGTAAATGATTAGAATAACAGGGAGAGAGGAGGTGAATTAACCACTTGCCCTCCAGAGGATTTACCCCCCTTCCTGACCAGGCCATTTTTTGCTATACTGCGCTGCATTATTTTAACTGACAATTGCGCGGTCATGCAACCTTGAACCCAAATTAAATTGGGTACAGCATCTTTCCCCAAAAGGTTTGAGAACTCAGCAATCATATGACCGCTGATTCCTGAGTTCACACCACTGCTGTGAGCAGAGAGTGGTGTCTGTCGGTCACACTATTGTCTGCTTTGCCCCCCTCATGCTTACTGGAACGCGGGCTGAGGAGGGAGCGATTGGCTCAGGTTTTCAGCAGGTCCTATGTGTATATCTTTTCTTACATGTACCATCTTATGTTTAGGATTATGATCTTTAATTGGGATCTCCATCTCCCTTTCCTAAGGTTCTTTGGTGGCACATTGGTTCCGCATCTTTTTTGATTTAAGTAAGTTGCTTGGGGGACTTTAACGTTATGCCTTTTATTACCCTGTCTTCCTACTTATTTTTATTGTATACTGATGGGTGATTTTGGCATGTAATTGTAGCCCTTTATGAAGAGCCTCTGTTGGTCTTGTCCTCCTGGCCTCTTTGTAGCCCCAGGTGCCCACCCGGGGACTATTTGCTTGCATATACTCATTTAGACAGGCAAGGTGTGTAAACATGTTTGTATGTTCATGTTCATGTAGTTATATATGTGTATGCATGTTGTATCTTTGCTATGCCATGCACAATTACACCTTATTTTTCTTTTTATATAGCAAACTTTGGTAGTTTCTTCATGTGTCCTGAGGAAGCAAATATGTGAAACGCGTTGACTCATGAAGACTAGCTTGCATATTTGTCGCCAAAAGAATGGGCTGAATGCTGTACTCTGCATGCATTGCTTTATACATTTGACACGTTTACCATGGATTGTTTTTATAATGCATGACTAAGCATGCTTTTTGGTTGTAAATAAAGTTTATTGATTCATTTTGTCCCATGGGGTGCCTCTAAAGTCCAGCTAGATTGTTCTTCATATGTTTTCCTGTTGATAGGGATGTGGAACAGGAGTGATCTATATACTAGTTTGTGAGCTCTAAGTTATCAATCCAACACCTACTCTACATGACCTTTGGTGTGCCTATCCTAAGTTTATTTTGTTCCCTGATTGATCACAAAAGTCTATATTTTTTAAGGCTTCACAGAATATATATTTTCCTGTTAGGCCCCTGCTACTGACTTCTATGATCTGGTCATCCTTAGATATCTGCTATATTTGATTCTCATTGGTTAAACTTTTTTTCCATCCTTGACCACACATGTCTGCAGACCTCTGACCTATTCTGACTCTTCCTAACATTATGGCACCTTTCTTCAGTCCTGCCTCTACTGAGAACTGTCAGTGGCCAGGAACTGCTGAGGTTTGTGCCCTAATTATCTATCTGCAGTAGGGGTGATTGATATTAAGAGTTTTCACTTTTTTGGCAAAAGAAAAAAAAAAAAAACATTTTGGAAACTTTTCTGTTTTTAAAGTCAATGGAGAATTATAAGTTAGGTTGGATTTTTGAAGTTTTTTAGCATGCAATTGACTACAATTTTTTCTTAAGGTTTATTTAAGCTTCTTTCAATTATAATTGATCATTTTTTTGACCAAAAAAATGGCCCCCCATCAGCTAGGAATAGGAAATGTGATATTGAGGAACAGAAATGGATCTTTCCTTATAAAATGTATATACACTTCATTTTCTGGAAAATGTTTATTATTATAAAGAGAGATAATTGCTTCCTCACCTCTGGGACAAAGGACCAAGGTATTTATGCTGGGCATTGCACCCAAGACTAGACAACACTAGCTTAGATGCAACTGGAACTATTTTATTGAACAGAAACACAGGGTTTTATACACTTCAGAAATAGAAGTAGTCCCCACATGAACAATACAGAAAATATTACACATTGGGATAAACATCCCACACTGTCTAGGTAATGAGGCCAAGTTAACACCAGACTAATACCATCATGTAGGATCCTTTAGGAGGACCAAACAATAGATGACTCAATTAACTCAGTTAGCAATGGGGACAAATACATGATGGTAAACACATCATGCCCTAATAAACAGATTACAGCAAGAATCCTCAGCATCAGATTATTTTGAGCTGATTATATCAACATCTGCTTAGAGTCTCTAAGTCTAGGAAGTGTGGGGGGAGGTTGAAGCAGTCAATGCTTAGTTTTAGCACAGTCCCCACACACAGACCCAAATTATATATCCTAGTCCTCCCCAGGCACACACCTCACAAAGAATAGAGCCTCCTCAGCTGCCCATGGTCAGTAGGCAAGAGTCTAGCCTGCAGTCCCTTCCAAAATTTATATATATAAATATATATATATTTATGTGTGTATATATATATATTTTTTAAATTAAATTGTCATTGGGCTTTAACACACTCAAGTAGAAAGTGTCCAAGTAAAAAGATCTCTTTGGTTAAAATCTATTATTGCTACAGTTCCTACCACGCTCACATCTGTGCATGACCTTTGTATCTCCCATTAGAGTAACCAATGCATAAACCCCAGTCCTGTAAGTATGAGCAAGCACAAATAAATAAATAAATATAAAACAGAACTGGAAATAGCATGGGCTTCACTTTTTTTTTTCCACATGGATGCCATGAAGTATCCCAGTCTCCCTCAAGGCCTGAACTCAATGAAGCACAGAGACAGATGGTAACAGAAGCATAAGGGAAGCCATCTCTCTAAGGAATTAGAACCACCATTGCCGCATCCCTCCTCTACCTTGAAGTTGGTCATTTACCATACAGAGCAACATAGACAGACATGTGCTGCTTTGCCAGGTCTGACCAATCAGCAAAGAACAGATATATTATATGACAAGAAAAAACATTGTGAAGACTCCCAAACAAAACACACTTGTCTCCCAATGAGACCCCCTACTTCACATACGTAACTCAAGAGGAGCAGAATAAGAGCAGCATCCTATGTGGGACTCAGGTTAGTAAACTAGTAAAACACTTCCTGACTAGGATGTGCTCCAAAATGGACTTTCTTCGAGACTTCTTTTTGAGGGCTGCGTTGTGCTTTGCAAGACCTGGAGGCCTTCAGGGTAGGAGAGTTATACGCGAGCATGGAGATTTGAGTAGCCTGGAAAAATTGTTCAGCATCCGCAGGAGAATGGAAGGTATGTCATTCACCATCCAGAGTGGTGAAATGAAGAATGGGATATGCGATCGTTGGCTTAAAATAGTTATGAAACAGTGTAAAAAGAAAGAAAAATCCTGCGCTAAGCCCCTCAACTTACACCACATGTGATGGGCCAATGATAAGAATAAGTGAGGAAAAAAATAATGAAAATCAAAATTTAATAAAGTGAACTGCTGCTGCTACTCACTTTCTGAATGCCAGAATGACAAATTACAACTTATATAAAAGGTGCAACTGTTCACTTAAAACCCAAATTATATAAAATAAACTTGTGGTCCCCCCCCCCCCCCCCACCCCCCCCCCCCCCCATTTTCGGTTATCAATTGATGTGGTTTATGATAATACAAAAATCAAACATAGTTTATCTTATAAGTCTAATAAACATTGCAAAGATGAAACAAGATGGTTGGTATTAGAGATGAGCGAATCGAAGTATCCGAAGTTGGAATCGAGGCGGAAAGTGAGAGTTCGAAAGATCGGAAAAAAATTTCGAATTAGTTTGCCGAATCCAGGAAATAACAGCCCTAATTCGGGACGCATGCGAATCGAAATTTTTCAGGAAAATGGCGGCTGACATGTGCGGCGACGGAGCGGGGA